CTCTCTCTCTCTCTCTCTCTCTCTCTCTCTCTCTCTCTCTCTCCAAACAGTCTCTCGACTAAAATAAATGATCACTTTTTGTGTGTATTTTAATTGAGAGCTAATCTTATGCTTAAATCTGCACTTTTAATGATATATTCAGTGAAAATAATATTAGACACGTTTGTTGTCTACGTCTGTGTGTGTATACCGTATACATAACCGAGTGATAAATGTATATTTTTATAGCTAGTGGTGCCAAAAATTGTGACATAATATATGGTAAAATTATGAATGAATAGACAGGGGGTGGGCTTAAGGAGGCGGACATACCATCAATGGTTATACAAATGTTGGTTTTATTTTCAATTTATTGCCCTTTCAAGTACTGATAATACGGTTAATCCCGTGATATATATTGATTGAAATGCAAATTTTTTGTGACATCCCAGTCCTCCTCTTCCCCCACCAGTCCTTAAGTTTTGACTACAATTTTCAAGTTATTTAATGTATTATTTAGTTATTTAACGTATTTTTATGTTTAAAATACGCTAAATATTTTGTTGTGAAAACAAATTAAACTAGTTTATCGTTAAAACGATATTTATTTTTTAAAACCTTTTATAATTAACATTTTATTTATATAAATAATATTTTTTGGGTAGAGAACTACTCAACGCTGTAAACATTTTACTTGTAAAATTGCTAAAAATATATATAATATATAATTTGTAATAAAATTTGATTAATGACTTAATTATAATTAAATAAAACTTCAATATTATATTTTTTTAAAAACTGTAATAAATATGTAAAAATTGTTTTAACATGGTTAAACTCAATAAACATTTGTATTAATGGGCAAGAATTTGACGTTCTTATAGATAAATTTAATAAATTTAAATTTTAATATAAAAATTACCTGAAACATAACTTAATTAAATTTAACCCTAATCACTTTCCCATCAGACACTCTAAATCCATGATGATAAGAGTGATGCAAAGTATACAATAAAATGCATTGTAATTGTAACACACAATTAAACCATTAGAGTTAATAAACTTGAAAATAAAAAAGTGCATTAATGTAAATCAAGTTTTTGGGCGAGATATAAAATGTGTTGTTTCATGTTGCTTTATATTTCATTTTTTATATTTACTTAAAAATCACAACTCCTTTTGACTATACGTTAAATAATATGTAAAAAACAATATTATTTCACTTTTTTGGTATTCAAAAAAACAATAGGATTACTTTATCTAATGTCTATCTGTCTAACTGACTGACAGTCTCTCTCTCTCTCTCTCTCTNTCAATTTGTAGTGTCTATTAATAGCCCACACTTTGCCGTCTTATACTTGTATAATCATATTGTATAATATAATTTATATTGTATTCAGCAAAAATAAAAGCTCAAGTTTGTTTAGTAAACATATCATCATCAGTCTCTCTCTCTCTCTCTCTCTCTTTCTTTCTTTCTTTCTCTCCGCAACTTATGGGAGGATTTAATTATAATTTCCCTTTAAATATATTACAGAAACAAGTTTTTTAATACACAATATGTGTACAAAAAAAGTTGGGATATTTTTTTGGTTGTCTAACATTTCATATAATAATTATGTATGAAATGAATAACATTTTTTGCTGCCATTCTTTGTGCCATTCATTTCCATATTTGTAACAATAATAAAGTGTTTTGTGTTATTTTTTTCAGTAAATAAAAGTTTTTTATTTTGTTTTATAATAAAAAACATAAAAATCTAAAACTTTTTTGTGTTTTGTCTTTTGGTTTTGCGTTACTTTCTCTTCTTATTGTTTGTTTAAGTCATGAAAGAGAGAGAGAGAGAGAGAGAGAGAGAAAGAGAAAGAGAATTTAAATTTTGTATTTGTTTTTTAAGAATCAAGAATATTCTTGAAATATCAGAAAAATATATAACATTCAAAATATAAGCGATAAATTGAATTCAATTATTAATTTAATTACAGTGAATAGCATAATCAGTTTGTTGCATTCATTACAAACGTGTGTTTTCCATACATATACAGTACATTGTTTCCAATAGATATACAGTATAGATAACAAATATATCTACCAATAAATACCATCCCATGGCATGTCATCCCTCATCACTAGTATCTTCTGATCCATTTGTGTCCATAAAAGTGGTTGTCATTCAATCATATGATATGATATTCACAATACAATACACACACAACACATCGCATGTCATCCCAATTTGTCCATCATTATTAACCTCATTATTATTATCAACACAACAATAAACACGATCAATTTGAACACAGTATAGTGTATACAATAAATATCTTATATATTGTGTGGTTTGTATAATAACATGTTTAATGTCATAATAAAATATTTATTTAATTAATTAAATCATTTACGAAGCGACTGCTGAGATGTCACGACTCCTATTACGGCTGTAACTTAGAAATAGCATTAATGTAAAATTATATAAATAAATCCATATTTATAAATCAATTTATCAAGATTATTTATGTCATTTAATTCAGTGCATTATAGAGTGAAATAATAATAAAAACAGTGATTTTACGGCAGATTTAAAGGATTTCATGCATTTTGCATATGATTTATAATTTTTAATATAGTGTACAATTAAAATACTCGCATATTCCCTATGAAACTAACAGTGTAATAGATTAGTGAACCAAATATATAACATCAAGGCTTAAAATTTATTGTTTTTATTCAAAAAAAAAACTAGAAACATAAATGTCAACCAAAGTTTTTGGCATAATTTCCTATCACTTCATGAGTGAACAAAAACAATACAAACGAAAATAGACTGTACTTTAACTGAACCTTTAAATAAACTGTCAATTAGTGAATACTGCTTACTATGAAGTAATTTAATAACGTTTTCTGACTACACTATTCGCTAATCTGTACAGTATTTTAATTAATCCCAATAATTACTGCATATATACTGTAGATATCGGCACTATTTTTGGTACACTAATCGCATTATAAAAGTATTAAAACAAATAAAAACTAATTTAACATTGTCAAACTATTGTACACCATGCATAAAAAACCGGAAAATATTTTAAACTTGCTAAACATGCAAAATAACATAAACCTAGTCAATTAAAAATAGAAAATAATTTATCAAGATGCAAAAAAAAGTAATAATAATAAATTCTTCCGGAAACAAACAAAGCGTTTATTATTAAAACATAATTAATTTAGTAAATAATGAAAGTGCATAAAATAAAATCATAAATAAAAACTAAATAAAAGTGCAAAAAATAAAATAAAATAATAATAAAATAACAAAATTAAAAATTGCGCTAGATCAATAATCATAAATCAAAAGAGCCTTTAAAATGCTGACAATACCTCCAAATGATAACAACGGCTAACGCTATGCATAACAGTATGGCGACGATCAGCAGGAATATGACCAGCGCTTTGGACCCGCCGGCAGTTTTAGTGGGCGCCGGTTTGTTGGCCCCCTCGTCGTTGGTCATTGTGGGCAGTACTTGAACCCCGCCTCCATCGGACCCACCGTTATGTATGGGCGGCGGCGGTGGGGGTGGCGATGGTGTCGGTCGTGGGCTATGATGGCTATGCGATGAGTGCGTGATCAAGGGTTGGGCCCCACCGCTGGCCTCCAGGTCCGGCTCTTCGGCCACGCATTTGCGTTTTTCTGGCCTGTATTTGGGCTGACACTGGCAGACACCGTAGGCTGGGCTACAGACTTGGTGCTGACCACAAGGTAATAGTGTGTCCAGAGCCGAGGCGTTACGGTGTATACACTTTTCGCCCAGTTTTGGTCCTATGGGTAATGAGAGTATGATTAGTAGTTTTTGGATCATGATTATAAACATGGTTATGTTAGTGATTGATTGATGAAGGTTTGGATTTGAGTTTATGTGATATTGTTTGCAATGTTACTGACATGACATGTACTGTATATTAGTTTGAGATGTTTGATTTTGCCATAACCAAATTTGTTTTAGCTTTATAATGTTATATTGTTGTAATTCTGTTTAATACCGGAATATTCTGTATTATATGTTGTGTTTTAATGATAATATTCTGTATAAATTCCGGATATTTTGTCTCATTATTGCTTAACATTGAAACTCTGAGTCACGATATGTTTTTTTTATTGACATCGATTTTATATAAATATCCGGTTCATTTTAATACACAGTAACTAATTGGCCATAAAACAATGCATGTAATTTATATTTAGTGAAAAACAAGTAATTTATTTAATATGTTAAAAATATATTAAATATATAAAATAAAATGCAAATTAAATAGCATACGGGCTTTTAAATGGGTGTTAGAAATAGCGCATAACTTATACAACAAAATTTATATTAATTCAAAAATTTTATTTATGAAAATTAATATTAAAAACATCTAGACTTAAGATTTATGTTTATATTAATGCCATAAGAATTTAGACAAAAAACAAAATCACCATATTTTGTGTGGTCGTAAATAATGTAAAGCCTTTCACTTGACGTCAACTACAAAATAATATATTTTTAAATTTACCATTTTTGTTTTTTAATATAATTTTGTTTATTTTTCTCACTTAAATAAGACGTTTAAATAATAAAACTAGTGAAACATATTTTGTTATTGTTGTTACTCTTGCTTTTTTTATTTGCATTTTTATTTTTGCATTTATTATTAACACAAATAATTCAAACATAACTTAATTATTTCCTTATGTCTTATGATATAATCGTGTTATGTCTTCATCTCTCCTCTACTTCTCCTCCATCTGACAGCTCTTTGGCATTGAATACCAATTAAGAGACAATTTGTATTGAAATGAATGGAAAATCAGAGAGTAGAGAGAGAGAGAGNACGTGTCTAATATTATTTTCACTGAATATATCATTAAAAGTGCAGATTTAAGCATAAGATTAGCTCTCAATTAAAATACACACAAAAAGCGATCATTTATTTTAGTCGAGAGACTGTTTGGAGAGAGAGAGAGAGGGTGGGAGAGGGAGAGAGGGAGAGAGCATCTACTATAGCTGTGTATACGTATCCTATTGTTAATTAACATCAGAGTTTTTGTTCATTGTATTAAATATAAACTTATAACCATTTGTTTGACTGAAAACCATATAAGGTGTGCAAAATATGCTAAATATTTGCATTGAATATTGAATTGAAATTTATTAATCTCAATAAAATTTTGCATAAATTCAATGCTGAATATTAAACACGGTTTAATATTGAATTAATTTTGTACAGTTACACTGTTCATCCAGTTTTTGTGTACACTATGTAATAACTCAATATAACAGCTAATGGCATAGAAATATAACGGAAACACAACATCTCATTTGTTATCAAACTAAATGATCTCAATTTGTAGTGTCTATTAATAGCCCACACTTTGCCGTCTTATACTTGTATAATCATATTGTATAATATAATTTATATTGTATTCAGCAAAAATAAAAGCTCAAGTTTGTTTAGTAAACATATCATCATCAGTCTCTCTCTCTTTCTCTCTCTCTCTCTCCCTCTCTCTCCCTCTCTCTCCCTCTGTCTATTCATTCATAATTTTACCATATATTATGTCACAATTTTTGGCACCACTAGCTATAAAAATATACNCTCTCTCTCTCTCTCTCTCTCTCTCTCTCTCTCTCTCTCCAAACAGTCTCTCGACTAAAATAAATGATCGCTTTTTGTGTGTATTTTAATTGAGAGCTAATCTTATGCTTAAATCTGCACTTTTAATGATATATTCAGTGAAAATAATATTAGACACGTTTGTTGTCTACGTCTGTGGTGTGTATACCGTATACATAACCGAGTGATAAATGTATATTTTTATAGCTAGTGGTGCCAAAAATTGTGACATAATATATGGTAAAATTATGAATGAATAGACAGAGGGGTGGGCTTAAGGAGGCGGACATACCATCAATGGTTATACAAATGTTGGTTTTATTTTCAATTTATTTCCCTTTCAAGTACTGATAATACGGTTAATCCCGTGATATATATTGATTGAAATGCAAATTTTGTTTGACATCCCAGTCCTCCTCTTCCCCCACCAGTCCTTAAGTTTTGACTACAATTTTCAAGTTATTTAATGTATTTTATTAGTTATTTAACGTATTTTTATGTTTAAAATACGCTATATATTTTGTTGTGAAAACAAATTAAATTAGTTTATCGTAGAAACGATATTTATTTTTTAAAACCTTTTGTAATTACCATTTAATTTGTATAAACAATATTTTTTTATAGGAAACTACTCAATGCTGTAAACATTTTACTTATAAAATTGCTTAAAATATATCTAATATATAGTTTGTAATAAAAATTTAATAAATAACTGAATTATAACTAAACAAAACTTTAATATTATATTCTTAAAAAAACTGTAATAAATATACATAAATTGTTTTAAGATGGTTAAACTATATAAACTATTATATTAATGGGCAAGAATTTGACGTTCTTATATATTTTTTAATAAAAAATGAGACTGGTTAAATTTTTAAATAAATTTTAATATAAAAATTACCTGCAACATAACTTAATTAAATTTAACCCTAATCACTTCCCTAGCATACACTCCAAATCCATGATGATAAGAGTGATATACAATAAAATGCATTGTAATTTTAACACATAATTAAACCATTAGAGTTAATAAACTTGAAAATACAAAAAGTGCATTAATGTAAATGAAGTTTTTGGGCGAGATGTAAAAATGTGTTGTTTCATGTTGCTTTATATTTCATTTTTTATATTTACTTAAAAATCACAACTCCTTTTGACTATACGTTAAATAATATGTAAAAAACAATATTATTTCACTTTTTTTGGTATTCAAAAAACAATAGGATTACTTTATCTAATGTCTATCTGTCTAACTGACTGACAGACTCTCTCTCTCTCTCTCTCTATCTATCTCTCTCTCTCTCTCTCTCTCTCTCTCAGCAACTTATGGGAGGATTTAATTATAATTTCCCTTCAAATATATTACAGAAACAAGTTTTTTAATACACAATATGTGTACAAAAAAAGTTGGGATATTTTTTTGGTTGTCTAACATTTCATAATATAATTATGTATGAAATGAATAACATTTTTTGCTGCCATTCTTTGTGCCATTCATTTCCATATTTGTAACAATAATAAAGTGTTTTGTGTTATTTTTTTCAGTGAATAAAAGTTTTTTATTTTGTTTTATAATATAAAAATAAAACATAAAAATCTAAAACTTTTTTGTGTTTTGTCTTTTGGTTTTGCGTTACTTTCTCTTCTTATTGTTTGTTTAAGTCATGAAAGAGAGAGAGAGANTTTTTTTGTACACATATTGTGTATTAAAAAACTTGTTTCTGTAATATATTTGAAGGGAAATTATAATTAAATCCTCCCATAAGTTGCTGAGAGAGAGAGAGAGAGAGAGAGAGAGAGAGAGAGTAAAAAAAATGTAAACTTATTTTTAGAGATTTATTTTGAGCGCAAAAATAGTTTTTCGTAAATATATTCACACTTTTTGTATATAAATGTCGAGAAAAATCAGACTTTTATTGGATTTGTTTGAATTGAAAAATTTATTGTTTGCATTTCGACGCCAAATAAATTTCATCTAATATTTCCCAAATGTATACGAATAGAGTATAACGTTATATAACATTAATTTGTATATTAAACATCCAATAGCCCAATAGTGTACAGTTATATAAACAACCAGTTATATCACGTTCATTATACAGGAATTGAATGCAATATTTATTATAATAATAACAACAATAATCGTATAGAATATTCTGTAATAATACGGAATTCAGTTTAAATAACACAACACTTCCTGTATATTAAGTTAATATTATTAACATCACTTGAGAGAGAAATCACTTGAAAATCGCATCGAAATGTATGTTAAAAATAATAATATTTTTTAAATAAACAAAAATTTTTCACTCAAAACAAATCAAACATTATATTAAGTATTTCTTCCGTTAATTCATAGAAAACGGCATTATTTATGAGACGAATAGCGAGAAAAAAGCAATGTTTCGGTGAAATTAATACTTAAAACAAATACTACATAAATAAGTGAATGAAAATTTTTATGAATATGATTTTTGTGCCGTAAATCTCTCGCCAAACTTAAAGAGAGAGAGAGAGAGAGATGCGAAAATAAGGGCAACCCCTCCTTTAAGCCCACTATTTATTATAAATTTTATTATATA